GAACAGTAAATGTACAAAATATAAAAAAAAAAATAATATTAAAAATAAATTCAATGGTTTTTCTTTCCAAATGTTTTAAATTGAAATTTCTTCCATTTATTATATAAAAGCTTTTTATAGGTTATTGAAAAATCACTCTAAATAATCATTTAAAGTTCCACTAATAGTTCCTTTTAAACAAATTGAAACTAAACTAATTAAAAATCACTCAAATTAATTAATAATTTAAACAACTACTAATAATTCCCGGGTTATTCTCCACATTTTACATCCTCGTATATAATTGTCTGCAAACAAAAAGAAGAGTAAAAGTGCTAATGGAATATCAAGAATTATAAGCGTAACAAACTCATGCTACTTTTTTTTTTTAAATAAACAAAACTTTTACTGAAACTGCCTGCAAGTTAAAATTTAATTTACACAGTGCTTACTTGAATAAATTAAAATAACAACAACTAATTTATAACTGCTCACCGATGTTAATTTACGTTTAATGAATTTTAATTGACCTGCACCGCAAAACAATCAAAGCAACAACAACAACAACGACTATATATAATAGTAGCAACAGCCGCAACAAATATGGCGGCATCACGTCCCTTTACAAAAATTGACAAATGACATTGCGCCCAAACATGGTCAGAGGTTCAGTAAAGTCGGGAGCAAAGCGTCAACTGAAATGAAATGTCCTACGTATTGTGCCTAAATTTTTCGGCTAACAACATTTGTTGCCCTTTTTATTTTCCTTGCTAGCTAGCTGGCCGCCGACTCATGTATTTTGTTCTTGTTTCAGACGCTATTTGCTAATCAAAAATTTCAAACACGTTTTATATTGGCAACGCAAAAGTCATTTATTCAATTTGCAAACCAGTTTTTCGTTGCGTAATCTAATCAAAAAGGTTGTAACGTTGTGTGTCACAGCGTGAGTGTGAGTGGTCGAATGTGTATGTGTGCGTGTGTGTGTGTGTACATTTTTGGCTAAATGGCTGGCTGCCAAAGCAATAGCAACAACAGTAACTTAAAGAGCACCCAATGCTGCAAAGTAAAAAGTAACTATACTTGCATGTCTAATAATGTTTATTAAAAGAATTTTTGATATCGGCCTTAATTGAATCATATAAAATATGGAATGTTTTAAAGAGTATTTCAGAAAGAGGAAACCATTATGAAATATTTCAAATTCCAATGACTATAGTTTTTAATGAAATTAAGTTTAATACAAAATATAAGTTTAATATAAAACAGCAACGGGCAAATAGAACTGCTTTCCACTGCTTCTTTATTTAATTGTATCTACAACTCTTTTGTTGAATTACTGAGCGTATACGCAATATGGATGCATGGCTTTGGCTACTTTTTAAACTGTGAAGACAACTTCACACATTTAAAAACAAAAAGAAGAAAACAAAAAGCTTCTAACTTAAAAGCTTCAACAATTGGCGCAGGCAGAGTGTAACAAAATAACTATACTTGCATGTGTAATAATTTTTATTAAAAGAATTTTTGATCTAGGCTTTAATTGAATCACATAAAATATAGAATGTTTGAAAAAAATATGCAGAAAGGACACAAAACTGTCAGAAAACTGTTGACGCAATTTTTCAAATTCCAATGACTTTAATATTTAATAAAATTAAAGTAAATACAAAATATAAGTTTGATAAAAAAAAACAACAAGTAAGTTAAAAGACACTAGAACTGCTTTCCACTGCTTCTTTATTTAATTGTATCTACAACTCTATTGTTAACTCTCACTTATTAACAGCATTAGATTGTATGCACCATAAAATCTATTTCTCTATTATACAAGTAATTACACTACGAAGAATTTCATTAGTAAGTTAAATATTTTGAGAATGCCCATTTAGCCCGACAAAATGTTATATTTAGCAAAGTTTTTGTTAAAAACGCGTAATTTAATTTAAATAACAATTGAATGTGCCTCCTTAATATTAACATGTTTAAACTAAATTCATAAAAAAAATACAGACGAATTGATAACCTTCTCCTTTTTTGAACTCGGTTAAAAATCTTATCAAGCTAACGAAAATAGCACTTACATTTAAGGCAAAACTCATTCATATCTTAAATGTGTGATTACGCACTTTTCGGATATAGAAGTTCTGTGCGGTTTTATTTTTGACCTTTTTTATTTATCATTCAATAAAAATAAATAGAAAAATAATAAGTTTGTTTCAAATCCCTTCAAATATTCACCCTTCAACTTTGAATAGTTAAATTGTTCTTAGTGTGTGGCCTTATATTTAATACTCAACATGAATATAGCCCAAGGTCGAACTTTCTGGCATACATCATTCATATTATGGTTTTGTAAACGCTTGCAGGAGCAGAAGAGCCCTGCAGCTCTATGACAACTTTAAGCTTTTTCAATTTACGTTTGGAAATAAATTGCATATGTACGCATATAGTATAAATACCAGCTCCAATAACACACACACATACAGACACACTCGTATATAAACACACATATGTATGTAGAGTCAATGGGGAACTGTTGAAACAACTGCGGGCCATTTTAACCTCATTTAATTAAACTACGCGAGCATGTTTTATTTCAATTAGTTTGCCACCAAGAGCTCGCACTCGGCTATGATATGCCTCAAAGTGCGGAAAAAAACCTGTGCAAAATAATTAACTGCATGCAACAATTTGCATGCCACGCCCCATGCGTGCCGGGCTAACGCCTACCTGGCGCCAATCGACAGTGACAGACAGGCGAGACCTCACCACGCCGCTGAGGATATGAGAATGTTGTCCACGATGACCAGGCCATGATATTGAACTCGTTGTCTGCCAAATTGCTGTTGTTGCCGTTGTTGTCGAATGTACGAAAATGGAAATCTGCATTTAATTTATTGATGCAGCAACAGCACAAACCCAATAGCAACAGCAACAGCAACAGCAACAAGAACAACAGCTACAGCTGCACTATTGTAGCAACAGCAGTGCCAAAAGTTTTGCGCTGCTTGCTTGTAAGGATTTTGCCGGCACAGCCGACGCCTAAATGTATGCAGCGTAAAATTGTTAAATGCGCGCTTAATCTGCATATAGGCGTTGCCATACCGCCCCCAAGCCCCATCCCCATCGCAATGCCACCACCAACATCGCTGCCACTGACATAACCCAACACCGACTGTCTGTTTGTCTGTCTGGTGGGGTCTGGTCTGGTGCGTGCTCGCGGCAAATTGTTTCATTTCGCCATTAAAATGTACGAAAAAATTTTAAGCACTTTATTGGTTTTTACGACACACGACTCCAACAACTTCAGCAAATTCTGCGAATGTCTGCATGTGTAGGTGTGTGTGTGGGGTGTGTGTGGAGGTATGTGTGTGGGTGTGTGTGTGGGCGTGTCAGGCTCAACATTCTGCGGCTGCTTGCTGTGTTAGCATATCTGTTTTGCTTGTTGCAATGCTAATCGCAACTTCGGTTTGCCAGCATTTGTGTTTCTGATTGTTGCATACACAGTTGAAGGGGGCAGACAGACAAATAGACATGCGCTCAGAAAGACAGACAGACAAACAGTCAGACACAAACAGATATTCAAATTCTCGAATAGCTAGGCTAGAAAAGCGAAAAAGCGGCGAATAACCAGCAGTTAAATAGTCAGACAAAACGACAGATAAGCAGACTGATGCTATACAGCCTAATGAGCTTGTATATTAGAAGCAATTAATAACAAAAAGCTCTTGATTAGTCAGAAACTTACTAACGAAAGTAAGATTCGCAAATTGTCTGATATCTATTTATTGAATGAATAAATTCTAATTTAATTTAAATTCCATAACTTTGATTTCAGCAGTCAAATGGGTTAATATTTTATGAAATAATTCACTCATGATGCAACGAATTCTTGTTTTCGTTGGAATGCTGTAACAAGTATACGCATGTTGAAAAACAATTATTTCCTCCCTTAGAATTATTAAAATTTTGACAATGAAATTCTTCCACCTATTTAAAATCTGCACACATATTTAAAATATATGTTTCGTTACCATTTTATTGAAATATAGATCTGTGCAGATAAAATTTCATTTTCTGCTGGTCACATTATTATTGTGTGATTTATTATATTATTTTCGATACATATCGGTTTTCATATGTAACCGTTTTTGGCGATAATTAGAACAATATTTAAAAACATAGTATATGGGTAATTCATTAAATAAAACGGTTTTAAAAATTTTAACAAATCAGAATTCCTAAGTATAGTTTATACTCTTAATATATCTTAACAGATCCATGTACAAAACAAACCATATTTTGAAACTTGCATTCCCCATCGTATTTTTACATTCGAACACAAGTTTTCGTAGGTAATTCGTTGAATAATATTTTTTTAAATGTTAACAGATGAAAACATTACCAAACTGTTTGTCATTTTTTCCCTAAGTCTTCTTAACTTTTTCCGTACCTGTATATTTTTTCTGATTGTCTGTTGGTCCCTCTGTTCGTACGACTACCTTACTTTTCCTTTACTGTCGGTTTGTCGGTCTGCTTCTCTGTCTGCGTATTAATTTTAATCGATAATACCAAATAGCTATTTGAATTAGAGCGTCAAACACTCATAGCCATTAAGTGATTTCTTTTCAATTTATTAATTGACATTTATTTATAATTTTATGTAGTATAGGTGGAATGCAATTTTGTCAAAGAGAATAAAACAATAAATTGGTTTGTTTTTGCATTTACAAATATGTTTAATTACACATTTTTTGTCAAAGGCACATGTTGCTTTGTTTTTCATTTCATACTTCAAAGCATATATATTAATAAAATCCAAATCTCGACAATACAGCGTTTAACTATTTGTACAATTTTTAAATAACTGCAATATAAAACAAAACAGGCAAAAAACCGAAACGAAAAAATTCAAATACAAAGGGAATTTAATTAAAACATAGTTCTTTTTTTTGTGTTGACAAAGTTTAATAACTGGCTTAAAAAAAGCCGATTAAAAATAAACTAAAACTAAATTGTTTTTTGTTTTCATTGTTTTATTTGAAACGCTACACAACAATGTAAATATTGTCTATTAAAATGCATTTTGATATTTTCCGGTTGAGCTTTAGCTTCAGCTTAGCTTACCAACACGTAAAAATGGGTTTTTTAAAACCATTTTTCTTATGTATATCCTTAACCTGCTGGAGCTCTTCCGCAGTCAACGAGTTCTTCTTCGAATAGGTCTTTGTAGTGACTGGTATAAATAAATAATATAAAAACAGAGCCTGAAAGTTTGTGTCAGTTTCTTCAATCTTACTCATGTAGAACGAGTTCAAATCCAAGCAATTGGCATATACTATATAGTTCGAATTATCGCTGTCCACAATTTGCCCAATTAAAGAGCTTCCCCCAGGTCGCTTGGGTGGAAATTCTTCGGACAAACAATATAAAGTGTTATCCTTTTTCTCATTATGTGGCGAATAAGCCACCACTCTCAATTTTCCCGCAAGTGTGCTCTAAATATAAATTTATTATTATTATTATTATTTGTAGAGTATAATGCGAGTAAAAAATCTTCATCATATACCGATTTGTTAAACTTTGGACACTGGCCTGAAGAAACATTGGTGAAGGTGCACAAAAAAGTAACCAGTAGGATGCTAATTGTGGGGAACTTTCTTTAATGGGTTTCTTTAATAATCAAATACTATTCCTTACCCAAAGACTTTCAGCATGTTGATGGTGACGAAGGTTTAAGTGCGAAGAAAGTAAAAAATTCCATTATTTATATGACAATTATTTATATACCAATCGATCTAGCCATAACGAAAACATGTGTCGAATGCATTCAGCAGTTAAGGCAATAACATAACTGAAGTGACAAGAAATTAAACTACTTTGTTTGAAAACTAATACAGACCGTCATCTATAAATAGTTATTCAAAATATATTCTTTTTTTTACATTGCAGTTTTCATTCATTCACTATTTTTGTGATTTCCCTAACCTTGAACAGCCTAAATGCCGGTCAATTAATTATTTTGTTCAAACATAAAGAAGTTAAAAAGCCAACTTCTTTTCATTAAACACTTAAATAAATAAAGAAATAGGTGGTATGAACATTTAAATATCTTCGCCTTTTTTATTGCACAAAATTTTTGAAACTCAATATTTTTTCACACGCATAATGATAAAAAAGTATCTAAGGACAGAAAAAAACAGTGTGCTTGAATCCATTTTGTTTATGTATTGCCTTTACCTTCTCGATCTCCGCAGCAGTTAATTTACTTTTTGCAAACGTTTCAACAGTTCCTTAAGAAAAAATGTATTAGAATTGACTTTATAAAATACTTTCAAAGCTCACCAGTGTGCTGCGTTTTAAAGTCCATACAGCTCCAAAGAATGACAAACTTGGCATTATCAGAGTCCACAATGAAGCGCGACATACTATAATTAGTTCCAGGTACTTGTACTACAGGTGGTGGCGGATAGACACTTGTTTTATCACAATATACATGATCGTGTTTATCATTCATTTCATTGTGATATGCCACAATAGGCATTGTGCCCTTTAGAGTGGTCTGTAAACAATTTCTATTAAAGGTTATGTCTTGGTTTTAGAGTCAGCTATCGTTCTACTCACAGTCTTTTTAAATTTTGGACATGGACCTGAAGGTGGCCATTTGGAGCCACACACTATTGTGGCTAAAAGAATGCTAATAAAGTCAGAAATTTGACACCGCTGCAGAGGCTCTTAAAATTCTGGACTTACCTAAACAGCCTGTACATTGTTAGGAGCGTAACTGTTCCCGGAAAGTGCGCCAAACGATTCGTGAAACCTGTTTAAATAAAATTAACTCAACGGGTGTATCAAACATTCATTAAACGGGTACAATCGGTTAGGAATGCATAAATATTTATTAGTCATAGTTACCAGTGGACAGATTTCATCAGCGAAATAAAAAATACTGCAACTGGATTGTAAAAAAATTAAAATGAAAATAATGTAGATAGCAGAATAGGGAAAAACAAATAGCCGCTTACAAGTCCTTCAATGGAAAACAACAAACGGCTTCTTGTTAATTACTGCTTAACAAAATATGCACAGTTGATGACTAAATTGATGTTAAATGAAATGCAAAGCAGACAAGTACTAGACCATAATGACAATCTCTTTTTTTCGCAATCATTGACGCCAAAGGTCAGGCGCAAAGATGCGAAAAAAACGATGTCGCAAATGGGAAATAGACGTGAACAAAATGGCGATTGTAAACAAACCTAAATTGTTTACTTACACTTGACAACTCAAGAACTCGGCACGCAATTTGTCAGTTTATTTTTCCAAGTGGTTTTCGTTAACAGCAGAGGTGTAGTCTAAAGAGGAAAACGAACATCGAACTGAAACGGATTTACTTATGGTATCAAAAAGAAAGAAATATAACAATCACAATGCAGGCATTGGTAATAGAAACTCCTTTTTGGTTGAAATTCAAATGAACAACTCGTTCGCTTGTCTTTACTTTTGTAGAAGGATGTGTGGCAGATTCCTCTAGAAATCAAGACGATAACACCCTGTACTTCTGTTTTAACTTAACTAGATCTAGGCCAAGAATGGAGATCTTTTTTCTTCGCCCAGGCAAAAAGATAAACACTTTTAATTAATAGTAAGTATGCTGACATCTGGCATTCAATATTTCATTTTATTTATATCTAAGTATGTCGACATACAAAAACAATAAATAAAAATTATTGTTATCTACCAATATAAAAAGAAAACAGAGAGAAGAAGCTTAGAATTCATTAAAAGCTATTTATTTACTATATTCCATTACTTTTGAGATTCAAATCAGTTTTGTCAGAACAGAAGTAGAAAGAAATAATGATAAGCGTTTTCGCCAAAATAAAGATACACATACTATAGCTATTTTTATGAGTATCTAAATCTCCGCGGTATATTAAGTTAATGACACTAGCGAAATGTCACTGCCAGCAGAGTTTCTAAACATTTCGGGACATACTTGTATTAAGAGTGGCTTTCTGCCTACGCCTCCAAGGAATACCGAATGTAATAAAGCGGCAGTGCAGAAAGTTAGAATGTGCCTTTGCGCATGTCCTTTATGGCTTTGCACAGCAACAGAATGACATTTGAGTAACTTTTTATAAGTGTATGCAAAATAGAACGAGCAGAGATATATCAGTTATTAATATGTGTCTCTATTCCTCACATAAATATGATTTCTCAGTCTGCCAGTCAATGCAAATTAGAGGGAAACTTCAAAGAGCGTCACATATCAATAGCAGTGAGCTATTTAATTGTGCACACATCTATCTGTACACTTGTACTAGGGGAGACAATGTCAAGCATATCGCTGCATCGTGCACATGGGCATTGAACAATTAAGGCCTTTTGTCTGCGATTAGGTAACGAGCTTGAGTAATATGCTGGCCCGACAAGGAACAAGGCAAGCTATTGAGTTGTTGTCACTGCCAACGGCAGCAATTGTCAATTGCAGGCAGTGCTGGGAGTACTGGACGGGAGCAGGTGTACTATGTGCATGGGAGTGGGTGGGAGTGGATGGGAGTGACCCGCCCACACGCTGTGCCACAAGCAGCTTGGTTGGCTAAATGTAGAGCACATCAGAATCGCACATAAACGGCTTCTGGCCTACATACAAACATATGCTCATAGTTGTGCTTGATAGCATACATATATATATATATATATTCGTATATGTGTGGGTGGGTGTGTGTTGTTTCTTGTGAAAATGCCTACACACAAAACATGCCATAAATCTATAGTCAGCATGTAAGTAATAAGGATTAATTGCGTACGAGAAACTTGGGCAGCGACAGCAGCGCCACAGACGAAAATTTAATTAATTAATAGCACAACTTTAGTCGACATGCAGCGCTGATACGGCATAGGTATGTGTGTGTCTCCATGTGTGTGTGTGTGTGTGTGTGCCTCAAATACCTGTATGCCATCATGAACAAGATGCTGCCACAGCAAAATGTCTTCACTCTGTGCCCATATCTTCATACGATGTGCGGAAATCAATAAACCAATAAGGATTTTAAATATCTCACTCCATGGGCACACAAGCAAGATACTTGTATGCCTTAAAACATGACCTTTAATTAGCCGCCACTGCCGTAATAAATTAGTCATGTAGATTTTTCTGAAAACTACACACTAGTATGTGTAGTCTAATTGAAATTAATTGAAATTTATTGGCACTTTGGGCATAATTAATCAACAAATTCGATAATGAATAGATTTCAAACTACCGTGCTCTGTTTGTGAGCTTTAATTTCCCAATTAAAGAAAAGCAACTACAATATCGCAACAACAACAACAACAGAAGTAAAACAAAAAGCAAAAACACCAAAAAAAAAGAGGGGAAGGTTTACTAAATGCAAATCCAAGCATTATTTCCATTGCATTTTTGGCGATTTTTATCTACTTGATTTACTTTTCGCATGACTGTTTTTTTTTTCTCTCTCTCTTGTTTGCCACTTTGAAATGGCAGCGTGAAGGCACAACAAAATAATGGGCAAAGGACACGGCGATTAATGCTCGACTTGTAGCAAGAACTTCTGAATATTTGGCTGGCATGCAAATGCAAAATGCAATTCTCCGGATTTCATTTAATCAGCCAAAGTGTTTAATTGGCAGCGCTGGCTATGTTAATTATATAAAGATATTGCACCGTTGAATACAGCTTATTGTGTTCTTAATCCGAGAGCCCCTGAGGCTTTGTTGAGAATTAAGGAAATGGAGTAGAGAGTACTAGCTGAAGTACTGATAAAAGGCTAATTCTATAGATTTCTTTATAAAGAACTCAAGCAGAAATCTGTTTTTATTTGTGAACTATTGTAAATAAATTCCCATAATGGAATCTTGCCTTTAAATCAAAAAGAAACCGTTCACATGAAATTTATTTCCATTTTTGTAAGACATTGAAGAAGTATAAAAAGCGTTTATAAAAAAATAGCATTGAAAACCAAAGACTATTATTAAACAATTTTAAATAAATTCTCTTAAGGAGACGTCTTTATTTAAGGCTCAAACAGAACTCTGTTTTTATTTGTCACCTATTGTAAATAAATTGTGTTAATGGAATCTTAATCTTGCCTTTAAAGCAAAAAAAAAAAAAACAAAAACCGTTCAAAATCTACAAATCTTTGCAAAATATATTTACATTTTTGTAAAACCACTTTAGAACTAAGCTGAATTCAAATTATTTTCTTTCTTCGAGACATTGAAGAAGTCTTACTTGTATATGTTTGTGTTTACATTTCATCCACATCTGTACATAAATAAATATGCATTCATCAGCTTAATTAATTGCCCTCAAAGATGAAGTTAATTATCGCCTCACATTGTATGAAAAGCGTTTATTAAAAAATACCATTGAAATCCAAAGACCATTATTAAAAAATTCATGTTAAATGTCTATTAAAATAAATATTAATGCAAACATTTTCTCTTTTGTTTTGCATTGCTGTCACAATCAATATTCATTTTTGTGGTGTATGTGTGTGTGTGCATGTTTTTTGTCATAGTATTAATAAATGGCAATCAACCAATAATAATGGAATGCTATTCGGTTGTCCAAGCAAACATATTAATTCAATATTGAAACCTACATACTACTAACTGTCTTTGGCGGTACCGAAATGAGTTTCTAGGATACAAAAGCGGCTTTAAATTAATTACATAAATCAAGAAAATCTACAGTTATAAGATTTATGTTTCTTCAATAAATTCTCTATTAAAACTTTCTAGATCAACAACAAAAGTAGACAGGCTAAGGACATTTTTGTGTTTCTAAAATAAATGCATTTAACAAATTTAATTCGTTCGCTTGAAGTGCTTACAAAATATGCGTATGTTTGTACTATGTATCTACTGATAAGTACTTCTATTTGTTTGTGTGTAGTGTTTACAGCATTCTGAAAATTCTATAAATATATCCCGCGGCGAAGAAAGCAAAAGCAATTTGGTATTTATCTCTGTTTTCCATACTTTATGCTTGAATGATTTTTCATTTCCTAGCTCTAGGAATTTTTATTATGACAATAACAAAAGCAACGACAACAGCAGAAATACATAGCAGCAGCGGCAGCAACAATAACAACAACAATAATAATAGCAACAGCAACAACAACAAAAGTCATCAAAACTAAAAACATTTGCTTTATTTTCACGCAATTTTTCTTATTCCGAACATTTTGCATGGCCGCAAAAACTGTTTTTATGTGTTTATGGCTTTAATATCGGCGCTGCTCTCAGTTCTGCTTGCTTTTATTTTCCGGCGAGTAAACAAATTTTCATCGGACATTATTTTAGGCGTTTTTCACTGTTACTTCGGTAATTTATTTTTCAGCACTGAGATGATGTCACATTTTCCAAAGATGGCGAACAGAAAGCGTTTAAATGCGCCTTTTCGTCCACGCCGGCCTCTGTTCTGTATAATTTGCATAATATTTTAATTTTGCATGCTTATTGGCGCATAATTAGGTGATTTTCCATGAATAGTTGTTACGTATAGTACTGGTTGGCTGGCTGGGTTATTGTTGTTGTGCTCGCTTGTTTTTGAGTCTGATTTTTGTGCTTTGCTTCGCCAAAATGTTAATGTCAATTTCAATTTGCATAACAGTTTTCACGTCGGCTTGTTTGTGGCCGTTTGCGGCAAAGAATTGGAAAGGCTCATTTAGAATATTGGGCGAGATTCCAGTTGGCAAATAAGTTATGGAGATTGTTTTAAAGTACATTACTGTAAG